GTTAGTGGTCCTATGACCTGGAGCATGAATAAAGGGAAATGGAAAGGAAAAGAAATACAAATATTTCAAAATAATTTACAGGAAATAGCTTGCTAAGAGTGTGGACTATGAAAATTGAAAATGGATAAAGGGGTTAGCTGACTATGGATTTTGCTTATTTTAAAACATTTTTGAGCTTATTAATAAATTGGGATTTCCAAGAGAAATTATTGCTGGATACTTCTAAAAAAGACAAGGAATCATCATTAAAGTTCAGAGACTGTACTGTAGAATGTGTTGAATGAGATTAAAGAGTTAAGGATATGGAGAAAGGAAAAAGAAACGAAGGCTCCTTTTGGACTATCCCTTTTTTGGAAGAAGGAGAAGGGAATTGGCTTCTATCAGGAAAGCAGCAAAAGAAGGGAGGAGAAGATTACTAACACAGTAACGCCAGTATCTAAACATAGGATGGCATTTTCAACACTTTTTGGAACCATCCCTATGACTCTAATAAAGTTATTTTGAATGGTTTCAATAATACTAAGCTTCACAAAGGAGCAAATTTGAGAGCCATAGAGAAGCTGAGGGACTACCTTGGCTTGAAAGACTTTGCAAGCTGCAGGGATATAATGGGCTCCTTTTGAATAGTAACATTTTACAATAGCTGAAGAGGTATGCTGAGCGAAACTTGCCCAGTAGAAAAGATGAGCGTTCCAGGATAAGGACGCGTGGCACTGTACTCCGAGGTATTTACAGGTGCGCACCTGTTCAATTTGAATCCCATTCATTTGACATTTGTGAATTTTATGACAGTGTCGGGTAAAAACTAGGACTTTGGTTTTCTGATAATTTACTGATAGTTTATGTTCTGTGTCAAATAAAGCTAGAGCCCTAAGAGCTTTTCTCATTCCCGCTTGTGAAGGAGCCATCAGCACACTTCACCATCAGCACACTGTCGTGCTGGGATCGCACAATCAGTTAAAATGTGTGGATGAGGGGCTGGAACAGCAAGGACTTGAAGGATTGCATTTAGATATTTCCATCCATTCCGTTATCTGCCAAAGAATGGCAATTAGAGTCAGCATTTGGAGACACGAGGTGAATATGTGCCTCTGCTGTAGCAACAGTGACCAGTAAGGGCTTCTTAAGATTTTCCAGCTTATGTATTCGATGATTTTCTTCAACCAAATGCACTGATAAGGCCAGCTTCAGCTGGATCTGACACATCTTCATTCAGTAAGAGTGGCTGACTCCCACTGTCTCGCTTTTTCAAGGCCATATAAGAGGGGGAGGAAGCCTTGCTGACATCTGTTAAACTTTTGGAGTGGGTATGAAGTCCAGATGAGGTAAGACCAGACAAAGAATTAGCTTTTACATCATGAAAGACTCTGAGGGGGAACATTTGAAATGCTGCTAAGTATGGTCTCATCTTAAATAGCATTAGTGTATCAGGGCAAAAACCACATTAAACACGGGAGACAGACACAGCATAAAACAAGTCACTTCAAAGTTCTAGAAACTTTATTAAATGTTAGTTCAACAAGCAAGTAAAATTCAATCATAAGCATACAAGGTACTTACTTAGATTCACATTGCAATGCGGACCAACTTAACCGAGCTGTCAGGTAAGACAGCTTGACCAAGTGGTACTGTCCTCCTAGTTGCAATCCCTTTTATCCTCAAAAACCACAAACCACAGACATGACTCCCAGGATTTGC